TATAATCAGGGCCGGCCCTGGCCCAGGGCGACCTGGGCAACAGCCCAGGGCCCAATTCATTTAGGGGCACCAGACCGGCCCACTGCCTTTTATCTCATTTTAGTTTTGTTCTTAAAAAAAAATGAAGTATGACGCACAATTCAATGAGGAGAATGAACATTTATGGCAGAAAATCTCCCTCCAATGTTAGAAGTAATTAAGATCTTACTTTTTCTCTTCTCAATAAATTTTTTTTCACTCTCAATGTATGTTTCTCTCTCCATCTCTCTACTTAATTATCTGTTAGATATTATTATATTATTTCAAGTACCCTAATTATCTTATTTACTTTTGAAAAAAAAAATATATATAATTTTCTTTTAAAAACTTATACTACCTCCTATTCTTTTTAAATGTCATTTTGGCTTTATCAACTATTAACCAAATAAATGTCGTTTTCGATCTTTTGTACATGTTTTTCCATTATTACCCTCATTTAGTCAATAAATACACTACGTCTTTCCAAATTCCCTCTTCATTTTTTCTCAAAACATTCATCTCTATCTTCATTAAATAGGGTTATTATTGACAACAAAAATATTCTTAATTGTTGTGCAACTTCTCAAAACGACATTTATTTGGAATAGGAGGGAGTATTATTTTATAGCAGTTATAATTTATTTATTATAGTTTAGATTTGCTTCACTACTTAAAAATGTTTAACTTTCTACTTGATTATATGTTATATATTATTACATTATTTTAAATGCCCTATTTATCTTATTTACTTGTAAAAAAACATTTCATATAATTTACTTTTAAAAAGTTATTTTATTTTTTTGATACCATTATAATTAATTTATAGTTTAGATTTGCTTCACTAGTTCAAATATTTTCAAGGAAGTTTAAAATTTGCTTAATGTATATTTAAACAGATTTAGTAATATTTAATGAAAACACCTATTATCTTTTATCATGTCATTATCTTATATTACTGTAATGATTTTTTTAATTGGATTTTCTGTAGTTGCTAGCTTTTTTTATGAGGTTGCATTTTGTTTTTTTAGGGTATATAATTCATTATTTAATTTTTCCGAATAAAAAAATGGGTTATGAATTCTATACTCGGGCATTATTTTCATGTTGGCCCAGGGCCTAATAATGTTCAGGACCAGCTCTGTATATAATGTCTCATCTAACTGAAAAATGAAGGGCATTTTGGTAACCTCACCTTATGGAACGGGTTCACATATAAAATGTCTCAGTTTTTTTCTCATAAGTATGAAAGAGATATTTATTCATGATAAATAAATAAATAGATAAAGGAAAAGAAAATAAAGGGGAATAGATTAACAGGACAAGATTAATAAGCCATAAATACTCGAGATACCCTAAATAATCACGATCCATATTTATGAAGATGAATGGATACATACTGGCAGTTAGCGGTTAGCTGTTAGCGGATTGCATTAGCTGTTTTGACTAGCGGATGATGTTAGCTGTTTTGACCAGCTGATTGTTTTAGCGACTTTCAAAAGAGTGTTTGGTAATTAACTATTTTTAATCAGCTGTTAACATGTAAAATTACTTATATAGACATCTATTCTTTTATATTCTTGTTTATTTAAAATTACAATTATATTGAAAATAACTATTACTTATATTTAAAATATTTAACATAACACAAATAATAAATTGTTACAATATATAATTGTGAAGTAAAAAAAGTTATGAAAATTTTAATTTGACATGATAAAAAATATTCAAATAAAAAATAAAATAAAAAACATAAAATGTAAAAATTCGCATATCAATTATCAGCCTTTAGTCTTACTCTTCCTCTATAAATTTGCACATAATTCATCACTCAATCTTTCGTTTTTATTTTTATATTTACAGAACACCTAATTCACTTAATTTCAAATGTCAGTAATCTCAATTTTAGTTTTAATCCAATATATTAATGTAATAAAATGTAAATCTATTTTGTAAGCTAACTTTGATTTTTAACCCAAATATGTTAGTGTGTTAAAATAATATGAAGTAGAGTTAATTTAGTATAGTTAATTAATGGCAAATATGTCATTTTATATTTTTTCCTCAAAAAGCTATTTGAAAAAGCTTCAATATGTAGCTTTTTGAAAAACAACTTTTAGATCAAAAAAACTATTTCAAAAAGCTATTAACCAAATATTTTAAAATTAAAGGTTTTAAAAGTCAAACATCTATTTTGTTCAAAAAGCTAATTTGTGGCTGAAACGCTATTAAACAAACATGGCCAATACAAGACTAGCAAAAATAGAATAAATTGTTCCTGAGAGTAATTAGGATAATTTGCTGCTAAATCATTGGTTAGTGCGTGGGAGTAAACCACATGGGTGCAGGCACAATCTTCTTTATTTTGTTGGTGTCCCGTGGATAAAAGCAATCAGAAAATGTTCTGGTCGCGCAATGATAAATGCCGATATCGTGGCCCCCATAGATGGAGCCCGCTGGAGGCTCGTGTCGATTTCTTTCAGTAAAGTAAATACAATCTTTTTCTAGGCCATGGTTTGTTGGTGTGGAGATGGCAAAGGAGTGGTTCTTGCCAATAAACATTGCCAGCCCATCCAGCGAACCCTCCACGTTAGTCATAATAAGCTTGGGCTGAGTGCTGTCGCCCCCGAAATATAGTCAACTTTAAAAACATCGAAAGAATAGGTTTGGTGGGGGAATTTGTCATCCCAACCCCTATACTTACCAAAGTAGATTGGCGGACGATTGGTACCGTCAAGGCCCATCCGTAAGCATATGTGTCGAGTCAAGAGAAAAAGCTGATTCATCTGCTCTGCCACCACAAGGAAATGTTGTTTCTTCACATCCGGATATCCCCCAGTGGTAAAAGAGAGGGCCATCGTCTCTTCTTCACTAGCAACCCCAACCATATAATGTACAGTCTCTGACCAACAAATCCTGGGGCACTCAAGGTCCTGAAGATCCCAACACTCCAATTTCCACATGACAAAACAGAAGAAGAGTTTGTGTGTGGTGGAATACACTCCAATTTCCACATGACAAAACAGAAGAAGAGTTTGTGTGTGGTGGAATAGACGCAATCGGTGTACTGCCTGGCAAACAAGCCGTCGTCGTGGTCGTGGACCTCCCAATAAAATTTCTTACTCCAATACAAATGGCCGATGGGGGTCCAGTGGGTGCTGCGGCCGGGCTGGCAGAAAGCCAGCCTGTTAAGGGGCCCAAAAATCATCATGGCACGACATTGATCTAGGTCGTGGTCGGGGGAGCAGGAGAGTATGAGCTTGGATACAATCCCACAGCAGTTAATTTGGGGATCGGGCAAGGTGAGGAGGGATGGAAGGTTTATGCGTACCTGAGTGATGGGGTTCCAGAGGAGCAGCCCGTGGTTGCGCCGGTTCAGCACAGCTATCCAGCCATGAGACGAACCCACCAATTTGGTATCATCACGTCATCGTCTACTTCCAATGTTGATCTTAATCTCTCTATTTTGGGTTCTGCCAAATTGTAGAAATTATACAACATGTTGCCGCATTGCACTGAGGGGGGGAGCATAAGCCAAGGCGACTTAACGCTGCTGTTTCTTATCATCGCCGTACTATTGTCATCAGAAGAAGAATTCCGATTCCTCGCCACAGAAGAAGAATTCCGATTCCTCGCCACATAATGCGATTTATTGTCTGTTCTGCTTCTCCTGCTGCTTATAATCATCCTATTCGATGAACTAACAAAAGATTTCATAAGAAAACAACTGAAACCTCTCAAACGAATCATCGTATCTTGTCGTTAATACAG